TCCTCTTAAAATAGGGCATCCACTTTTTTTTTCACCTTAGCGGGGCCACTCTCATCCTCCTGGTGACGTCAATGAAACTACTGCGTCATGGATTCTCGGGGGCTACGCGTATGTTCCTTAACTTCTTCTTCGCTGAAGTTTTGTTCACCTGCGACTTCCCTGGTCTGAGTGAGACTTTCCCTGTGGACTACTTCTTTGTATCCATATTTTTAACCAAGGCAAGTCTCTCCTCTTTTTATGTGCATCTACTTGCCTACGCATTGTCTGATGCCTATCACTTTACAGTGCTTTGGGAGGATATGATGCAGGAATAAGTAGCCTCCCTAATCTCCCAAATATAGGCAGTTTGACACACCAAAACAGGTCATATTAATCTGGTCTCCAATCTCGCCTCTTGATCGCTCAGGCACCCCTGCTGGAGCTAGCTCATGCAAAAAGCCAAAAATCTTTTTGTTTTTTGCTAAAACATTTGAAATTACCATCAATTCCTTCTTAGTGAGAAACAGGACTAATGTTGGCTCCGCGTCAGCACAAAACCTTGTCTCTGAAGTGAGGATAAGAACAGACTTAGGTGTAATCAAATGTCCTCACATTTCAGTGCCGTCTCCTAAGTGTTGGTTCCATTTCATCCATTATCATTAGGGCTTTCAGCCAAATGCCAGGCAAAGGTTGCCCAGCACTGTTGGCGAATCATGAAGGATGAGGATGAGGTAGTAGAACTTAGGCGATCATCTTATGGAACCAATTTTGTCAAGCTTTGTAACCCACTATGTGTGAAATGATGTCTTCTAAGAGTGCCAAAGGGCAAAAGGTGGTTATTGAAGGTGTGCGATGCCTTTATAGGCTTTTGAAGTTCTGTGGCATTGTGACGCAAACACTTGTCACTCGATCAGTATAGCTTTGACGTGTCGACACTCACTAATATGACAGCTAGTGGTTTGGGGTGCTGTTGAACTTACATTGCATACATTCATAAACTTTGCGTGAAAGCTCCTGCTTCTGTCCGATGTTTATTCCCCAAAATAGGATTAAAGGTTTGAATTTGTGCTACTCCTCATGTGTTCCCTTGAATTGTCTAAACAAAAAAGGTATAGCCTCCTTTTTACTGTCGACGTTCCCATCCGACATTGTTGTTTTCAGGTCGCTGAACTGTGGAACAAACTCTCCTTCGTGTACATTTACATTGCTCCCTTCCAGGCCAGTTGGGGATCCATTTGCCATGCTGTTGCACAGTTGGCTTCTATTCCTCGTATCCTTTATTCCACAACAAATTGCTTCAAAATTTGCATTTTTTTCAAAGTCACTGATCACCTGTATCTGTGATTTCTCCTCCTCCTCCTCCTCCTCCTCCTCCTCCTCCTCCTCCT